TAGAGTTAGATATATATATACGACACTGATACCGTAGGATGGACCTTGTCCGTTTTATCGCGAGTGAAATCACATCGGATATAGAGGAGTCCCTTATCTCGGGCTCCTCGTTTCATCACTAAACATTTTTGCTGATGTATATAATACGTGTTAAAAATGGAATAATTGAAAAAGATAAGATCGGCAAATCGTGTCGTCGGTTTAATTTTAGACCTCTTGAAACTTTTACCAAAATTATGTAGTCACCCACATATATGTATTTAATACCTTAATTATATACATTATGGAAATTAAAAAGAAAAAAAAAAAAAAAAGTAATTCTCGATGAGCGCGCGAAACAGTTGAGAGCTTGTATCGAGTCGTTTCGAAATCTGTCATTGATAAGATCACAGAGTCTCTTTTGTATCAACCATATACGTATGTGCAAAAATGTCTTTTTGCTAGGGTCACTGTCAAGGACACGCACTTATACCTACGCAAACACTCCGTGAATATTATTATACGTATATGGCTGCTGTACACCACCACGAAATCATGTAGTCGTTTCAATTACAAGATAGGCTAAAAGGACCCGTACGTATGCGTATACACGCGGTAGAGGTTCCGGTGCGCACAATTGAAGTGCTCTACGTATGTAATTGTATACATGTATACGTTCGTGCGTTTGACATCTCGACGATGATGGTCGAAACAATGAATGGGCCATTACATTGCGGCGCTTCAATTTACTTCGGGGAACCCCATGCATGCCGTTGCGGAAAAGCACGATTTGTCCCTCTCGACTATACATACGTTTTTTTAAAATCAATTTTCCTTACAATATGCTCGTTCAATCGCGATATAATCATAACGAAGCCATATAGTGTGTACCACTTGAAAATGATACATTGTGCGATGTAAAGGGACGGACAAACAAGGAGCAGTAAACAATTATATTGTTCTTACCTTTCGTCATCGGAGTGCCGGTGGAAGAAAGCTTCGATGAAGTAATGTAAATATATAATATATACCGACGACGCACTGCGCGCTTCAATGGTCCTGCCGCGTATAGGCGCCGGCTCCGCTCGTTAACTTGAATCAAGCGCGTTTATTTTCCCGAGATGAATCGAGTGTCGCTTGCTCCGACATTGCCTTTGATTTTTAAGCTTTTTTCTTCTTCTTCTCCGATTTATGAATTGTTATTTGCCGTTTATAAATCAATCGGGCCAACGCTGGTAGACCGATGAGGTGCGTAGTGGTGCGTCTACGCGCCAAACGCGACTGCTGCGCTAAACCTTCGCGTGCATATATATTATGTTGGCGTGTGTATTGAAAAAGAGAGAAAACGCAACCACTGCGGATGCGAACTTTACATATTATGACTTATATACCAAAGTTTTACCGCGAGGATCAAACCGATCGACCGATCGTCACGTTATGCCGAATATATTACATGTATATAATAATCATAATAATAATAATTATATTTAGGATCAACTGATGTATACGTTGTAGCGGGACAATGTGAATATATGAGCGTACGTAGCGCGAATTGATGGAGAGCTTGCGAGTTCGGGGAGTGTGTATGGGTATTACGGGCCTGAGAGCGCAATTGGTAGTTTTTTTTTTTTTTTTTTTTCATCCGAAAGGAGTGCAATCTTGGGTGAAAAAACGAAACAAAAAATCCCTCGATTGTTGTGACGATGGTGATTTTTCGTTTTTTCGGAGCTTGTTTCGGACCCTTTCGAAACAAATGGAAAGTAATTATGGAAGTACGTGAATTTAAGAGAGTGGAAAAATACTTTTGAGGTTTCACAGTATCGTATTTTTTGGGTTGTCGTTCTTCAATTTATCGCAACGTGTACCTATTATTGTTCTTTGTGATCGCATCCGTGAAATCATTGACAATTTTGTACTTCAAACTTTCCCACTTTCATTTTTATACTAGTTAATCCAAAGCAACAAACTCATTAGTTCAATAACAGTTATTAAAGTCGCCAAGATATACCTATAATCGAGGAATTTCGTTTATCGCGTTAACTATAATTGTAATTCCAGTCGTCACAGAAGAAAATATTTTCTTGACTTTTAAATGTTAACTTTTTATCCGCCAAATAAATTGTTTCTATACGTCGTAGGTTTTCGTGCAGCTTTGCTACAAAAGATAAAGAAAAAAAAAAAAAAAAAAACCAATTAGAGGAGCTTAAGATTGTTTTTTTTGTTTTTTCAATACACCCATCATTTGGAAATTTCCAAAACTGCGAAAAATCACTATTGTAAGAAACAATTGTTTCCCAAGTCTGAAATAAATAGATACAAATCACATCTACTTGTGCACCTGTATCAAAGTGTTATAAAATATGTTGAGCCTGACAAACTTACTTCCAGCGGTGATGATAATAACGATTTCGATTGCGATCAAGGCCTTCTTTTCTCGCAGTATAAGTAGTAAAATCTGGTTTGCTTGATAAATATATTTTTCGTCCTATCATATGCATTTCACCCAAATAGAACGAGGCAATAGCTTATTTTTAATTTAAAAAAAAAAGCACTACTTACCTTGAGAGTTTAAAATTTAAAAAAAGTAGGTTATTTTTTGAATCTTAAAATTGAGATTTTCTAAAATTGGAAAACGAAAAGTTATTACGAAAAATTTATTGCTTCGTGCAGAAATAATAACAATTTTTTTTTGTTTGTTTGTTTATCATCAATACAAGTGCTCTTGTTGTGTACGACGCATAAAAAAGGCCTGCAATACAGTCTCCAAAAATCAAACCTCTCCCGCGCTGCGTCTAGGTACTTTGCACGTTACCAACAATACCAACTTAACGAAGTGCGCTCCACCATAAAATCTAAAATCTCCAGGCGTTCAACAACGAGTCAAGTGACAAACTCTCTTTTCTTTCTGTACTGTCGTGGCTCTACGGTAACTTTTGATTGTTATTTCTAGTCTCGGTAAATCCGTAAATATCAACCCCAGCTCGCTGACATCAACCCCAAGATCACGGCAAAAGCCAATTTCACAATTTATTCTTAACAAGTGGTCTCGTATTTGTTGATTTATACCAAAAAGTTTTATCATAATTGATCGATATGCTCGTCGTTATTGCCTTGCTCGGAGGTTATGTCAGCTGAGCTGGAAACTCCGGTGTTTCGCGAACTCGTGCAGTTCTCACGTGTGATTGTGTTTTTCGAACCGAGAGTGAATATTTTTTTTTTGTTGATTAATTTACAGAAACTGAGCCATGGGTCGTGTCATCCGTGCACAGCGTAAAGGAGCTGGATCCGTTTTCCGCTCCCACACCAAGAAAAGGAAGGGAGCACCCAAACTCCGATCTCTCGACTTCTCCGAGAGGCATGGGTATACCAAGGGTGTCGTGAGGGTATGCTTATTTATATTATTTTTCTCCTTTTACAGACTTGGGCATTAGCTTTCGTGCGGATTGTTTCGTCCTCTTTTTACTTTTGTTATTGTTTAGATGCAATCAACCAACATAATTTTGAGGTTAATTTTACTTTGACAAACAGAATCCTTACTTGATGTACACCTAATTTTAAGAATACATTACTGGTTGCTTCAATTGTATTTGTAAAACTCAGATTGCTACTGTTAACTATCCTTAGTGAAAAAGTTATAAGCACTGGAGTCAAAGTCTTCACTTTTTAGGAGATCATCCATGATCCAGGCAGGGGTGCACCTTTGGCTGTCGTTCACTTCCGTGACCCTTACAAGTTCAAGACACGAAAAGAACTTTTCATTGCTCCCGAGGGAATGTTCACTGGTCAATTTGTATACTGTGGAAAGAAGGGTAAGCTAATTTTTCAAATGTGTGTATATTTCATCATTCATGGCTCTAATGGTTTTGTTTATTTTCACCAGTTCTTGATACCTTATAAACTGCAACGAATAATTAGTCAATTTGAATGTTTTTAGCCCATTTGAACATTGGTAATGTTATGCCTGTTGGACAAATGCCAGAGGGTACAATTGTTTGTAATTTGGAAGAAAAGACTGGTGACAGGGGTCGATTGGCCAGAGCATCAGGACTGTATGCCACAGTTATCTCTCACAATCCTGACTCAAAGAAGACCAGGGTAAAGCTTCCCTCTGGAGCCAAAAAAATCATACCATCTGCCAACAGAGGTATGGTTGGCATTGTTGCTGGGGGTGGACGTATTGACAAACCCATCTTGAAGGCTGGACGTGCCTACCACAAATACAGAGTCAAGCGCAATTGCTGGCCTAAGGTGAAGATCATAATTATTGAATTGTTTATGAATGAGAAATTTTTTAAGTCAGATCTCAATGATGGTAAAAGACATTTGAAAACCGAATTACTTTGAAGGACAAACTTTAACTGAGAACAAAAATTAACTAAACTTAGTACTGTAATGCGCACACAAGATCTTGTACTTAATCCAAAATTATTTATATTCTTTTAGGTGCGTGGTGTTGCTATGAACCCTGTTGAGCATCCTCATGGTGGTGGTAACCATCAACATATTGGTAAAGCCTCCACAGTCAAGAGAGGTACCAGCGCTGGTCGTAAGATTGGTCTTATTGCTGCCAGGAGAACTGGTAGGATCAGAGGAGGCAAGACCGACACAAAGAAGGATGCTTAGATTAATCACTAAACATCATTTGGCTTTTATTATAATAAAAAAATAAAAAATTACTAAAAAAATTCTTAAATACAGCCTTATTTATTATATGTAACTCCAGTATCTTAAAATCTCTATAAAAATGTTTTACATTGCAAACCAGTTGTGAAAAAAACTTTTATCCTATATCATTCCATTAAGTGGTTTGAAAAAAATTATTTGTCCTCTGACATATCCTAAAAGATAGGATAAATTTTTTATTCCTTATACAGAACTGATAAGATAGAAATTGAAATATACAAAGGAACGTAGCGGAATGAGGACTGCTCCATTAGTTCGTAGTTCGGCATTCTGAGGGAGCGCGCTGTCACAGTTTTCTCCACCGTCCAGCGTACCGTCGTGCCACCACGAAAATCATCTGCAGTGAGCCCTCGAGGCTGTAGTAGAAAGGATCGCTACACGCTTGCAGTGCGTCATAATTTGTAAATTATTGAAAATAAAAGTTGCAATCGTTAAAGCAAATTTAAAAACGAGCCGGTCGTCGACTTTTAACAGTTCGCTCGCAGGTAATTATCGCATTCATTATCCGCTCCCTCGTGTGGAAAAACTACACTACTGGGTAACAGGGCCATCATCCATTTTGTTTCTTCTCCCATCGACCCTCTTCGCTAATTTTTGTTAACGAGAGAGGAAATCCGGTAGTCGCAGGTAGAACATTTTTATCTCTCTTTTTTCCTGTTAACGAATTACAAAGGCGTCAACCTTGTCGAGAAGATGCAAGAGTAAAAAAGCGTCATAACGGCCGTGATAACGGCATTTTCCCAAGAGGCACGAAATTCGCCTGGCAGCCATCTTGCCATCTCTACACACACTTCAGAGCAGCTCTCTCTCTTTCTCCCCCTCACCTCGTGAACTAACATATATATACAGGTATATCTATCTTTCGTTCGTCTCGTGGCTCTTTTTTCAAAGAGCGCGTGTTGCTTTTCGTGGCGGCCATTCCGTAGTGACTATTTTAGTTGTTGCGTCCATCAGGTATGTAAAAGAGTGCATCCTGTATAACAATTTCTTAAATTTTTCTATCTACTTCACCTTCATCTCCATCCTAGCATCTTTTTTTTTCCTTTTCGAGTTTTTGTTTTCTCCTGCAATTCCTTTTTAGTGGTGTATCTGTCTACTTAATGGACAATCGAGCAGACGGTCTTGCCACTTTAACGACGGGCCTCCATTAATTTTTCTAGCCAAATCATTTTTATTATCGATGTACCTTGTGTCTGACTGTCTTGTGTTGTAAATTGTAGCTAAATTTTTTATTGTAAACATAATTTTTAGCTTTTGATATATCTGTACCAATTTTTAAAATCCAGTACAATGTACTTGTAGATTATTGAATCTATTACATTGTCTAGAAAAAAGGAGCGCTCCGAGCTGCTCCAAGCTTAATCCCGAACAAATCTATTCAATGCCAAGTTGGTGATGTATCGTTAAGCTATCATTAAATTTGGAGCGAGCAGACATAATCTACCATAGATAACGATGATACGTAGAACAGTAATTATTCCTCAATTTCAACACAACTCATTAACAATATATTCAAACAGTAGAACTGCTTGTTGATTACTTGAATGAAATAATTTTATTTTTAGAAACTTTGAAAGATATATGTCGTTACCAAGCCAAAGAAAATTGGTATCAAAGAACTTATACGAAAAAGCTTAAGTTTTCAGCATAGTGGTCTTGAAAAAGAGGAGAAGAACATTATAATAGAGAGAGAAAGGCATCAAGTGTAGAGCAGGGCTTCCTTTGTATACCTTGTCTACTTGAATGCGAGTGCGCGCGCACTCACACATCCGCAAAGCCTGACCTTTCGTTTGGACTTGGAATTTTTCCCCTACCTCTTTCCTCTCCCCTCTCGCCACACATACACACATACACGACATCCGCAAGAGGAAAGCGCCTATCACTCCCGTCTGACTAGCTCATATGCTTACATAGATCTTTTAATTTTTTTTGCAGTGCGTATAAAAGTCCAGAATTCACGGATATCGAGATTCCCGTTAGTTATTTTGTGACACATAAAAGTAAATCCAAAGACTTTAAAAGTGCAAAGGTGCTCGAGGGTGGAATTATTAGTGTCTCTGTGTTCCAAGAGTAGAGCAAGTTCCAACGCCAGCGATACGAAAACTACGCACCGAGGCGGAGTAATATGAGTAATGCACCCAACCAAAATGGATCAGGTCTAGAGCAGCAAGTAAGTACATTATTAAGTCGTGCTGGGAAGCTTTTCTTAGTCATTTTGCATGCTCTTATGTCCATTATTTACCAGAATAAAATTATTGTCATCAACAATTTTCATAAATAGGTATATGAATGAGTTACCATTGATTAGTTTTCTTAATGTTGATCTGCCGTGACCAACGTACGACACTGTACGACACCCGTAATCTATGTTTTACTTGTTTACTTATAATATTTCTGATGCTGCTTACATGTGCGATACATGTTAGGGTCCCATTGTTGTACTGCTCTAAATTAAAAATTCGTTGATATACAATGCAAGTAGGTGGTCGGTACACTTTTCTTGTCAAAATTCATAATCGTGACTCAACTCTTTGTTTATAATTACTAATATAGTGGTGTAACTTTCCGTTTGACATAAAACAATGTCTCGTCCTTGCAACACGGTTACAACCTATGTTGAGATATTGTACAAGTGTGAAAGTACACTACAGACACGATACATTCAAATGAGCCAAGCATCTGACCTACTTAACGTACGTTCAAAAGCTATATTGTATGAGCTGCAGCCAACGCAATTTTTTTTTTTTTTTTTACTATTGGGAAGTAAAAATTGAAGTAGTATTCGTAGCCCAATGGAAAAAAAAACGACAAAGAATGCTTGAAAATGTGTGAGCTGTGGCACACTTACAAAGGCAGATCTTTCGCTTCTTTGTACTAAGTATGTGGTTATTATTCTTTGACGCTTCTCTAATTACCAAAGAGCAGCATCGTCAGCAGTTGTCTACAGTTCCTAGCACGCGTCAAGTTTTATACATATATGTACATATAAAGCACGATGATGACGCGTCACATGCGGGCATTTCCGAGAGATAAGTATTTCGATCGAGACTTGCCTTGCGCGTTTGCGCACACGTTTTTCCTTCTCTCTTACTCCCTTTTCCCGTATACCGATACGTAAGAACTACATGACTGCGTGCATTTGAGTTCAATTGATTTTTTTCTTTTTTTTTTCTCTTCTATTGATAAGAAAAAAAACCATTTAACGGGTTTTCCCGAGCTTCCGAAGTGTTTGTACAAAATTACGAAATACAGTTATTATCTAGAAGAAACCGCGTGGTGAGAAATAATGCTTTTTATTATCGCAACTGACGATGCCGATGCAACGTAGAAATTACATGCATGGACTTGGTATCGCGTAACGTATTGCCGCTCTCTACCTATACATTTGTATACCTATCATTTATCCGGATTTTGCAATATCAGCGCTGGACAATATAAATTTTTTATTTGCAATTTCGCGAGTGCAATCGTATGTATGTATTCAGTGTAGTTAAGCATAGCATATAGTTAACGGTTTTTGTTTTTTTGTTTTTTTACAGTTAGCTGGTCTGGACTTGCAGGGCTCCCACCAACCGAGTGGGGGTCGCTACGTCCCACCGCATCTTCGCAACAAGTCTGCTAATTCTAGTAGTGAGTATAATAATTTATATTTATTGTTAGCTCAGTATACAACACTGCAGTGCTTTTTGTTGGATTTATTTTGGCATAGCGTGCATTGTTTCGTTAAATTTTGCCTTCAACCGTTCTGTACTACCTGTATAATGTGAATACAATAGAACTGACTCTACAATTCTGAAAATAAACGCGACCGTGTAAAACCAAAAGTGTTTCAAGATTTGGACAATACTTGAGTTACGCACACTTGACCTGATTTTCCAACATTCAAATCTCTTATTGTCTGAATCCAAGACAATATGTCATTCCGATAAAATCTGCGCTCTTAGATTGGTCCGATCGTGTTTCCCGAACATTACTATTCTGCTCTTTCGAGTTACCTTCATTCAGGAAAAATCATTTGTGTGAAATTTGAAAATAAAACACTTGATAATCCCGTAGGCTCGTACGCAGATACTCCACCACCACCACCTCCTTCATCGCGCTATTCTGAACGCGACAGAGGTGGAGATCGTGATCGTGACCGCGGCCGCGGTGGCGTAGACTCACGCTTCCGGCGCAACGACGTGGACTTCGGTAACTTCGGAGGTCACAACAGGCGCCAGGATAATGGCCGTGACTATCAGTACGGGCGCGACCGAGATGGTGGCCGTGACAACCGCCCGGTCAACGACAGATGGCAAGAACAGCCGAGGAACGATCGCATGGGCAGTAGCGGTGGCGGCGGCAGCGGTGGCGGTGGCGGCGGCGGTGGCAGATATAATGACGATAACAGACGTGGCGGCGGTGGCAAAGAGATCGATTGGACTATACCGACCGCCAGAGACGAGAGGCTCGAGCTGGAGTTGTTCGGGGAGAAGCTCACCGGTATCAATTTTGACAAATACGACGATATCCCGGTTGAGGCATCCGGCGACAACATACCTGAGCACATCACATCCGTGAGTACACATACATATTCTTGAATCTTTCGTTCCTTTTAATTTTAATGTATCCACGTACTAATATCAAAATATGATTTTATAATGTACTCATATTTTGACGTAACGCGTGGTATATTAAAGAAATACGTTTTTTGATTTGAGGAATAAATACTTACCATTTTTATTTTTTCCTCAGTGTACAAGCGTAACATTACTGCAAATCAATTTTGACTATTTTTTTCCATTGCCTTGGTTGATGTTTTCATTATTAATTTTTTCTTTATTTGTTATTCGTTTGCACGACAGTTTGAAGACGTTCAGCTGACGGAGATAATCAGGAACAGTATCAATCTCGCTGGCTATAGCAAGCCAACGCCAGTACAGAAGTACGCGATTCCGATTATCATGGGCCGGCGTGACTTGATGGCATGCGCCCAAACAGGATCTGGTAAAACTGCGGCTTTCCTCGTGCCGATTTTGAATCAGATCTATGAGAGTGGACCTCGTCCACCACCAAACGTGGCCGGACGACGCAAGCAGTACCCGCTGGGTCTGGTGCTGGCACCCACCCGTGAGCTTGCCACTCAGATCTACGACGAGGCGCGTAAGTTTGCCTACAGATCGAGTATGCGCCCATCCGTCGTTTACGGTGGGTCTAACGTTTCTGAGCAGATGCGTGACCTCGAACGCGGATGTCACTTGCTCGTTGCTACTCCAGGTCGGTTGGCTGACATGCTGAGTAGAGGCAGGATCGGCTTACACAATTGTCGGTACGTATAGCTACGGGCATCTTAAATTGATTCAATGATAATGAATAATTTTTCACATGAATATTTATCTTGCAGTTACTTGGTACTTGATGAAGCTGATCGTATGCTTGATATGGGCTTTGAGCCACAAATTCGACGCATTGTCGAGGGTGAAAACATGCCTCCAACTGGCGAAAGACAAACTCTTATGTTCTCCGCCACTTTCCCCAAAGAAATCCAGATTTTGGCCAGAGATTTCTTGAGCAATTACATTTTCTTAGCCGTTGGCAGAGTTGGATCTACCTCAGAAAATATCACCCAAAAGATTGTTTGGGTTGATGAGAATGAAAAGCGATCTTATCTTCTTGATTTGCTGCAAGCTAATGATTTTAGAGAAACAAGTGAGTATGATAAAAACAAACGATCTTATTTTTGTTGACTTCAAAGGAGTACTAACAAAAGTATTTTTTTATTCCAAGACGCCGAGTCTTTGACATTGGTATTCGTGGAGACCAAGAAGGGAGCTGATATGTTGGAAGAGTTCCTCCATAATCTTCACTTCCCTGTTGCCAGCATTCATGGTGACAGATCACAATACGAACGTGAAGAAGCACTGCGTAGTTTTCGTGCTGGTCATACACCAATTTTGGTTGCCACTGCTGTTGCTGCTCGTGGTTTAGACATCCCTCATGTTACCCATGTCATTAACTTTGATCTTCCCAGCGACGTCGAGGAATACGTCCATCGAATCGGTCGTACCGGACGTATGGGAAATACAGGTTAGATCTTGATTTAAATTTCAATCGACCAATCATAATTAACAAGCTAAATATAATACTTTCCTCTATCTTACAGGCGTAGCTACATCTTTCTTTAATAACAAGAATACCAATTTGGTGCGTGACTTGGTAAACTTACTCTCCGAAGCGAATCAAGAGCTCCCGAATTGGTTAGACAATATGTACTCCTCTGATCTGAAGTACGGTGGAGGCAGGCGTCCACCTCCCAAGAGTGGTCGCTTCGGTAGTAGCTTTGGTGCCCGTGATTGCCGTCAATCTGGGGGTGGAGGCGGACCTCCTAACCGCAGTAACGCGTTCTCTCGTCCCAGTGGTGGATATGGAGGTAAATTGCACTTTTATAATTGTTGGACATTACTGAAAAGGTGTACCTAATTTTTGTTTCATTCTTCACAGGCAATTATGGAGGACATAGTTCTTACAATTCCAACAGCAATGGTAATAGCAATGGTGGTCCTGACTGGTGGTAATCATCTGGCAGATACATGAATAATTAGCTAAGCACACCGTCGTCACCACGCTATTATTATTATTACTAAACTCTACATGCAAATTCAATTAAACGTAAGGAAAGTCACGCGAGGCAAACAAAAAGCTACATCGACACCAGCCGTTTCAGTCTATTTGCGCGAGCGCATTACGACAAACGCAAAATTAACAAAATGGTACGAGCATTAACACAATATTTACACGGATACAAAATATGAACACGCGCGAATGACAGTAACGTAAGCATTGCGAGACATTTTCAAGTAGTATATCGCTATCGAAACTGCCACAGTACGCTTTCTTAATGTGCAATGCTGGCAGCGTGAAGAAAAAAAAAAAAAAAAAAACTTAAATCGCCTTAGAATTCCTTAAATATAAAGATAGTGAAGTAACAGCGCAAGCTACGAGATTACGCTGATGGGGGTCCCAACCCTTGTAAAGACAAGAAACGTCTCGTTGCGCTGACCAGCGCACGTGTTAGCTGAATCAATATTAATTAAATCTTCTTTTGTTTCTTTTTTTTTTTATCGTACCAGAATTTTGAGTAGCGGCGTTTCATTACGTTTATTATTATTTTTTTTTTTTCTTGGGTGTAAAAAAACTAAGAATTGGTCTTAAAAAACTTTTATCAATTGCTGGATATTTGTTTTGAGATTATTCGCAGCATGTACGGCTCGTCGTGACTTTAGTTTTTCTTTTCTTATTTTTTAGAGATAAAAATTTCCGCTCATCACCGAGCACTCAAAAAGTTCGTGAATATGATTCTTTCTTAAACTTAGTTAAAAATTATCATAGACAAATGGTACTTTTGTCCTTTGCCGTCCCGAAAGATTTAAAGAGACATGAAATTAATACGAAGATCCAGTTGCGCGGAAGCGCTACGGGGTAAGTTTGAGAAAGAAACGAAACCTCGGCGACCGCGCTATTACTTACTTCAGATTCGCATATACAATTAACATGAACAATATCGTCAATAAAAATGTCCCAAGGCATAATACGACATGTGGAAAATAAAATAACTGGAGAACGCGCGTCTTTCAGGTTAAAAAGAGTCGAATGTATTTATCTTTTTTTTTCTACTACTATAATTATAATATTTTCCTCTTCGCAAACAACGAGCAGCTGATGTATATGTCGAGCTTGACATTCGTTGATTTCGCGAGACGCGAGACTTGGATCTCAGTCACAAAAAAAGTGTGCGTAAACACTATAGACAAATTAAAAATGTAAGAGAGTGACAAATAGAAGATGAAAAATACCACCTACGATTGGTGTGTTTCGCGATTTATCTCTCTATACATACGTGTAAAATCGTCGTTTGCGGTTAGAGGGCATGTATACCCATACACAAAAAACATCCCACAAGTAATTATTTTTTTTTTTTAGTCTATTACAAGTGGGAAAGAAACGTGGTTTGATTTAGCAAATTGTCAAATACAAAAAAAAAAAAATAACGATAGTTTAAGTAAGGTTGCAGTTACAGGAGCAGTTTACGTACTGGGAGGGAGGAAAAGAGTAGGAGATTGGGAAAAAAAAAACAAAGTGAGCATGCGAGTCTTGAAGTGCAAGCATCTAAATGAATGAGTGAATGGTAACTTACGATTGATTAATTTTTGCGGCTCGTCGCAAGTATAAATAAAAAATAACAAAGATAACCCCGTGTGAAGCCGTCGAGTGATCGCATAACATTTTTTGTAACCGTGTTTAATTTATATTGAAAAAAAAAGACACGGTATGATGTGCACTATGTAATAATATAATTAACGTTAAAAGTAAAAATAAAGTACGTACCGTAAAAGTAATTAACAAACAGCAAAATAAATTTTAAAAAGACGTCTGTGATATTGAACGATCTTGTGACACTTGATTATTACGGGTTTCGAATCTTTTTTTCTTTTTTTTTTCCTTTTTCCTTTTTACGAAAAAGAGGTATGCTATGTTAACTAGAGCTAAAAAAGCAGCTGCTGGGAATAACGAAGAGAGAAAAAAATTATCGAATCGCAGCCTGGTTGGGTGTCGAATGTCTCTTTGTTATACGAGACACATGAATATTTGGATCGTTCTCTATTGAAAAAAGAAAATAACACCGATTTCAAGTTTGGAATAATAAAAAATATTAACAGTACGAATGGAGTTAAGTAGTTATAAATAAAGTTATAAAAATGAAAGAGCTAGAACTGTGCTGTGCTGTCCGATATCTCGTTATAGGGGGCCGAACGTTCGTTATACACGATGTTTACAAAGTATTGAAATTCCGGGAGAGAGAGAGAAAAAGAGCGAGGGACCACTGCCATGCTATAGGCAAATCGCTGACGCTCTTAAACTTTCTGAATCGATCACCCTGGTAATTATTTGTAAATAATAATAATAATAGTAACAAAAATAGTTTAATTGTAATTTAAAAAAAAAAAAGCTTTGAAAAATATATTTATTTCGATTGTATTCTCAGTGCTGCCGTAAACTGTAGGTGACGATAATAGATCAATAAATAATTTCTGCGCGATCACGTTAAACTAGCACTTGAGCTGTATCAATGAAAAAATTCGATTCTCAACACTTTCTTTGAGAATATAAAAAAATAATACATTTAAAAACATACACAGTTCTGCATCTCTTTGTTATGCCGGTAACATTGTAAAGTGATAGTGCTATAGTGTTTCCAGAATCGTTGAACAAATTTTTGCTACTTAATGTAAGCCCAAGAGTTAACATGATCTACAAATACAAATGTATTATTTGCCAAGTATTTATGAAAAGAAGGCATACTCGCGCGCCCTCGTAGTGTGCATTTTGTATAGTATTTTCAATTATAAGTGTTTCGTCGGAACAAATGTGTTTAAATATATCGTGTGAAAGAAAAGTAAAATTATGTAAATGAAAAAGACTGATCCCTCTCTCTGTCTATCTCTCTCGCGTTCATCTAGACAAGCAGATTCGCATCGACGGATTAATAAATTATTTCATCGGAAAAATGATGAGTACAAACAATTCGCTAGGTCATCGCGCGCGTAGAGAGGAAGAAGATAAATTACGAAAATTACAAGAGTGAGCGCAGGTCGCGACGCGTTCGTTTGATGCGATTAAACAATTGTTGATGTCCTTGTCGATGAGTATAGCCATGTGGTTTATCTACTTTTTCACTAAAGCCCTTTTCTTTCAAGAGTATTCTTCATGCATATGGTTGATTTTTATACACAGTCACTGCTTCAATCGATAGTTTTTCAAAATTTCTCGAAGCCGTGGTATTCAAAGCTACATTCCTATAACTTGTGTTAATTCTTAATTAACTGCAATTTGTTCTTTGTATACCATCAATCACATTAATTTTATTTCCAAGTGGTTAAAAATACAACTCTGTCCTTAACCTCAAATAGTGAATTATTTGATGTTATTTCTGGAATTTCAACAACAGATCGATAAATTTTTTTTTTTTTTTTCTTTTTCAACAAAGAATTGGCTACTTATCTTTGCTACTTGTGTTCTTATATTCATAGGTCAACAAATATTTCCCTCAAAGCAACTAAAAATATATCAGTTATAAAAAAAAAAACGAACACAGAAACAATACTTCGAGACTAAATTGCCTCGGCACTGATACTTTCGCACCAAGTTCCATAGTATGAGAGAATATAGAAGCAAGAAAGTGCATGCGTGTAAAAGTGTTATTTATAAAGCGTTACGTAATTAATCGCAAAGTTACACGACGACGAGGAGAAAGCAACGAACTGCGACATAAAAATCGAGTGCTCCTCGACACATGACGTTCGTCGCATATCTATATTGTTATGATTAATTTTTTTTTTTTTCTATTTTACTATGTTGTTTGTTTTTCTTCTCAATTGTTCCTCGGCCGAAAACCTTTCGAAGTCTCGGTTGGCGGAGCCCTTCAATTAGGAAGAAAAAAACAGTTCAAGCGCATACGGACGCAGCGCTACGTGTAATATATACATATGTGTGTAAAGGATAATTCTTTTTTTTTTTTTTTTTTTTTTTTTTTTTTTTCGCGAGTCAATAGATAGTCGAATTCAATTGAGTGTTGTATTTATGGGAAAAACCAAGGTTCCAGATGCGCATGTTTTTCCTTTCGATCGTCCTGATGTTGAGTCAAGTGAGGAGGCATTGTTCAATCACGTTGTACCTCTTGATTTGCCATCAGGTGTCGAGTGAGTCGTCAAACGGAGAATCCTTGCAACACAACTTGCGCATTTAAACGATTTGACAATAGTTTCTCTTGGAAAGTTTTTTTTTTTTTTATTTTTTTTTATTTTTACTTGCATAAACGAGTTTACATAAAAATCAAATGGTAGGTTGGTTCCTTTGTCCTTATTACTGCTTTCCTATCGGTAGGGCATATCATTGTTCATATAATATTTGTAACCGTGTTCACGCGTCTCTCGTTTTTCTACGACGCTATTAAATCGTCTACGTTTTTTTTCATTGCGCTTTCACGTTTAGTCCTCTGAGAGTTTAAATTCGGGCACAAACAGTCTCACGTTATTGCGATAAGATATCGACGGTCTCATATTGTTTAAAAAAAAAAATAATAATAAATAAATAAGTAAAGAATAGCAAAAGAAGCAGGTGTGAATGTATTGGAGGCTGTGCACTTACAACAAATGGGTTTCGGGCGCGGGCCGAGAATTCACGTGAGCGTACTTTTCGCTTGAGCATATAATATTATTAATAGCAAGAGAAGTTATACCCAACGCAACTTCAGGAGGCTAATTTAGAGAGAATTTGAATGATGCAAAAAGCTATTGATGAATGATGAATGTGCAACTGTGTCACTGAATGGGTTTATGCTTGCGAGTTGTACTGGGGAAGGGGGGCTATGAACATCACAATTAATTGTGTTACAACATATATATCAAAATAGAAGTATCTGTCCGAGCTGCTTGAAGTCGGATGGAATTTGTCTGCTTTGCTTCAAGGAGTTAAGAGAGTATGTGTGGGAGGAAAAAAAAATTGGAAACGTTGACTGTGACTGCAATCATTATACACTGAAGAATATACACAAGGGAACATTAAAGGATAGAAGGAAGAAATTGAAATAAAAATAAAAATAAAAAGTATCATTTTTGCGGGACAGAACAAGTGCGGCGTGCGAGAAAGAAGAGAAATGTAAAAGATTCGTACTGTTGTAAAAACTGTTGTAGTCGAGGAGGACAATGGTTGTACACGGCACACGATATCAATGTAAGCTTCACAATGTCGCTTTTAACTAGAAAATCTGACACAATTTATTAAATTTAACACGGATAATATGTACGTAACTCTTTTTTTTTATATATTCTCACAACCATTGGATACCTCGAGCAGTTAAGATATCAGTGAGTGCATTTTTTGTTCACGCGTTTGCCTCTTGTTGGATGAAAAAAGAAAAAAAAAGTTTTTGGAAATATGCGAAGCGAGTGGTAAAAGGGCAAAATAAAATATTATTGACGCAAAACGGATGAAAAACGGTAGTTTTTGTACCTGATGTTTACGCATACCTACCACGGCGTTACAAATACCCGAGGGACCTCCTAAGCAGGACTTGAGGATTGCTTGTGACTGCCTTGATTGGATGCGCACTAGGTGCGAACGCTATTTTTCCTACCAGGTAGAAGAAAAAATTGTTCTTTCAAGTGACCTTTTTTGGTTTTTAAAACTTTGTACACAAATTACTTATTCCTATACTGTTAAAATGAGTGCAATAGTTTTTTTTTTTTTTTTTTTAAATTTATCTAAAATTCCAGTACTGGATCGCAGTTTATTGTTTTCTTTTAAAACCCAGTGCTTTTTTACCTTGTATTTTTGTAAAATCGCTTAGCTTATTCTGTTGTTACTGCAAAGAGGAATTCATAGGAATTTTTTCGTCTTTTGCGTCTAAAGCTCTCGCACGCGTTTGCTGAATTTCCAAGATGTAATTGTAGAGTTAATTAATTTGTGAGAAAAACAACAAACGTTTCTCGCAGCTTAAAAAAAAAAAAATAAAATAAAATAAAAATAAAAAAAAGTAGGGGTAAAGTTTAGGGGTGAGCGGGTAAAGCTGTGCGTTTTAAAAGCGGAAAGGTGACGTACTATTCTGTCGGTCTTTTAAGTAATTGAAATATTTACACTATACGTTAGTTGACAGAATAGAAGTGAAAGATACAAAGAAAATATTTAAAAATTAGATCTACAAATCGCTGTACGTTGTACACGTGTATTGAAAACAAATAAAAAGATATTGATGCCATTGATGATGGTTTTCATTAAAAAAAAAATATATGCATTTTTGTTAATAACTCATTCCTATCAGTCTTTCCTTCCTGTGTTCAATAGCAAAATTATACAAATAAAGTTCAAGACAAAGAAGTAAATGTTTGGTGTCAGTCGTTTTATTGTTATGCCAATATATAGGTATAGGTGAGTTCGCATCGGCGTCTTGTGCCATATCGTCGGTCGATTTTATATGTAAGCTCAAGTTTCCAGTCTTTCACAGGACTAGGACGTCTAGGACTTAGGAGTGAGCTTTAAAAGGAAACTCACTAGTTTCCACATTGTATAGATATACTAATCAACGTTATTTCCGCCTCTCTGCCGTAAGTATATTGGGATTTGAACTATGAACTACGACTAATTTAAACTCTGCTGAAGCGCCAATTGCCAATGAAAATTTACGTATGATGATGAATTTTAGCTTAACTTGCCGCAAACAGTACAAACATATATCCCTGGCGATGCCTCAATCTTTTCGGCATTTTCAACATTTTCTGTGCTATTTGCTGTGAATTTATCTATTACCCATAAATTGACACCACAAATTTACACCGACAGTTTAGACAGTTTAGTACAGGCTGACGCTAGCGCAGTCTGACCATATGCGGCGTTACCACGACCTACGTAACTGAACTGCTGGTAGCATTTCCGGAATACAGCCTTCAAAGTAAATATGTATAAAGTTTATATAAGTATACATATTTCGAACAAATCTTTTTCCCATGTAACAATGTAACAATTATAAGCTGTACTTTAGTAAATTAAATGAGATAGAAACCGTCTGGTTTGCAACTTGTGTGCGCGCTTTCGTGCACTCGTACACGTGTTCTTGTGCACTCGTAGATGTCGTGACCGGGCCTCCGTACTCTCCGTCTCTCTCTCTCTCATCGTCTCTCGTGTACAACAAGAAAACATGGCGCTGGTGTAAAAGACGCTGTACTGTGAATGTGAACATTGTGAACTGTGAGTTGAGTGACACCAACACGGAGAGGAGAAGATAAATAGACGTCCATGTCTATATTATACATTCCCAACAAGATTTGAGAATATATAGGTACGCACCAAAGCCTGGGTGTATCGCCGGTGCAGAAGACCACTCCCCCGTGTACAGGAGTAACTATAATCAAGTCATGAGTAACATATCACCCTTTGGCGGTGGCAAGAATCCGCCCTGGGTTCGCAATCCTGGTGAGTCTTATCAGTACTTATATACCACCACCCAATGGATTAATCAAACTATTACTTTCTGATTTTCTACGCGTTCCGCGTGAGAGGTAAAACAATGTGCCGGTGCAATCCCTACACTTCAACACGAGAGATTCATGATAGGAATTGGCGTAAGCTCGCTTCAGCTACCAAGCCTAGTGCGTTAAATTTAGAATCTCGGCAAAATTGAGGGGTGTTTATCGAGTGGAGAGGGAAAGTTAGAAATAGAGAGAAAGCAGGTAGATCAATGACACCGACTAATAGGCAAATCTGGGGTTGATCAATCTTCTGTCAGCGTTAGGAAGTTTATTTTAGGGTAAATGTGACATGGGCACAAGTGCATTGCACAGCTGACTTGCCCAACAGTGATGTCTTTGGAAAATTGTTAATATAACCGTGAAATCAAATTAAAGAGCTGTAGATTATGTATTTCAGTGAGTGTCTTTGTGTGCATGTATGCAGGCTGTTGCTATTTTTTTTTTTTTTTTTTTTTTTTTTTTTTTTTTTTTTTTTTTTATAGACTAAAACGCTTTTTGAAGAATCATAAACTGGCTTGATATTGAGATAACTGATCAGACTTTACTTAATTTTGTATCATTATATGTGTGGCATTTAACATAATGTGTTCTGTGAATAAAATATGTCTATTGTCTTTAAGGACAAGGAATACAAAATATACAGCAACAAATGCTGGGTCAAGCTATGGGTGGTATGGGTGGACAACCAATGGTTCAATATCAACAGCCCAACCAACAAGTGTACCAACAGAGTTTAGGCTTACAGCAAGTATGTATTGGTTATCATTTTGTGGAACCAATGATTTTTCGAGCTCAATAATTTATTAATAAAATTTCAGCAAAACATAACAATGGCGTCAATGGCAACTATAAGTTCAAATATACCATCTGGTATAGCTGGACAGTTGTATCCACAAGTCGCTACAGTTTCATATCCTACTCCAAGAACTCTAAATACCAATGCATTCACACAATCAGTGGCTGGAGTTACTCAGCAGGTTCAGCAAAATGTACCTCCTTCTTCCACAAAGCAGAGAGTATTTACAGGAACAGTTACCAAAATCCATGATAACTTTGGATTCGTGGATGAAGATGTATTTTTCCAAACTAAGTAGTTATTACTTTGGCACAGTTAAAACTATGAGATATATGAGAAATATTCTCATTAATTGAAATAATTTTTTTAGTGCCTGTGGCAAAGGTCCTTTCCCATCAGTTGGTGATCGCGTTTTGGTAGAAGCATCTTTTAATCCCAATATGCCATTTAAATGGAATGCAACTAGAATACAAGTGCTTCCCATGGGAAACACAAATAACACTACCACAACACAACCAGCTCCGTCGACTCCTAGACAAACTCAACCTACTAGAACGTCCGGAACTTACAATGCTGTTCCACCTCCTACTGATGGAGCAAATAACAGGTACGACTAAATATTTCTGTACAATCTATAGCGCTATGAAAAACATCATATTTCATCAAAATTACATTAGGTTTGCCACAAATACGACTCCCACGGCACTGGTCACAAATCGGAACAAGGCTGGAAGAGTTAGAGACAGATCCCCCCGAGACAGAAGAGACGATGAAGAAATTGAACGAAAGAGACGAAGAGAAGATAGGATTAGAGAAAGAGAAAAAAAAGAAGAACGCAGTCCATCAAGGACGAGACGAAGTAAATCGCCGAGACCACGAAGAAGAACCAGAGTAGTTCCCCGGTACATGGTACAAATACCAAAGATAGCTCTCGATTTGTAAGTGTGGTATATTACTTTGCATCATTTATTCGGATCTATAAGTGTCATTAACCCTTTGATTATTTATTTATGCAGGCCAGAAGCTGACGTTCTGGAAATCAAACGACGTTACCAAAACATGTACGTTCCCAGTGACTTTTTTTGCACCAATTTCAGATGGGTGGACGCCTTTCCGCCGCACATGCCATTCACTTTGAACAAACCTTGTTCCTTCCACGTCATGCATAAGGAAGTTGATTCTTGTCATGAAAACACAGCTGTACTGGAACCTCCTGATGCTGATTACTTATTCTCAGCCAAAGTTGGATTATTTTTATAAATTATAAGTTGATAAAAAGTTTTTGAATTTATTTAATAATTTAAAAATATTTCTTAGGTCATGCTCATTTCCATGCCGGCTATGGAAGAAATATATAGACGATGTTGCGGCCTAGCCGAGGAAAAAGACAGAAGCGACGATCGTGACTACATCCACCCCACACGCTTGATCAATTTTTTGGTCGGGTTGCGCGGAAAAAACGAAACCATGGCAATAGGTGGTCCATGGAGTCCATCACTTGATGGTCCAAACCCCGAAAAGGATCCATCTGTCCTCATTAAAACTGCAATTAGAACGTGCAAGGCTTTGACTGGAATTGATTTATCCAACTGCACTCAATGGTATGAACTTAAGAATATTACATGAATTTCCTTCACTTTGCTAATTACTAATCGAGCAACGGGGTTCATGCATAACTCACTGTAAAAAATTTTCTCATCATTTTGTTTTATTTATTTACTTATTTATTTTTTGTTTGTTAAATAAAAATTGAAAACAAAATTATAGTGTATAATAAACTACACACGCGTTAAATTTATATATACTTTGGCTATCCTTAATTAATTGGAAATACCAATAATATTTCTCACAAGTATAGTGATTTTAAATGTGATAACTTAAAACTCATTCTTCCGTAATTTTAACAAATGCATTGTTTTCATCACGATTATTAATTAAGGACCAAAAATTCGCGCGTAACTTGAAAATTGGGCTACAATGAATCTTATTCGCTAAGCTAAGTATAAAATATTAAAAGCTGGAGAAAGAATCGCTCACGTACTCACGTACTAGCCACGAGCGAGAGATCACCAAACAGAAAGAGAGCAGCCAGTCAACAGAGCTTTAATTCTTCGGGCTTGTGAAAAAATCTCACCAACTACATTATTATTTATTATCACCATTGTAGTTATTATTACTATTACTTTTACTAAATTAATATATGTTGTATACTACTTTTGTTTCTGTTTTACGTCGATGGTTTCTCTATTGTGTAAACACACATTTGCTGCTGCACGCAGACCAGACAAGGGATCGTTAAAGCTTCCACTTTTTTTTCAAAAGACCTTGGTTGTGCTTTTTAAGCATAATAACTATTATTATTATTATTATTATTATTATTATTTATTTTTTAAAATAAAAAACATAAAAAGACTGCGAGAGAAACGCGATAAAAGATTAAGAGGAAAGAAGCATAGGTATTAAACTTCAGAAATAGAGAGAGAGAGAATGTTGGTATTGTTTTGTTTTTGTTCCTTGCGGCGCAGGTACCGCTTCTTGGAGCTCTACTACAGGCGCGCAGAGACGAGCCACAAGTCCGGCCGGGTGGTCCCCTCTCGCGTTGAAACCGTCATACTATTTCTCCCAGATGTATGGCGCTGTGTGCCTACCAGGCTGGAATGGGACAGCCTGCAACTCGGCTACAAGCGCCAGCTGGAGCGTAAGCTGGCGCGTCAAGCCGCGCCCAACGAGAATCTTACTGACAATACGGACAATTCTGCTCCTGCTGCTGCTGCTGTCACTGCTGCTGTTGCTGCTTCTGCTGGTGGTGCACAGGCCGAGAATGCCACTGATGAGGCTGCTGCTGTCGCAGGCGTTGCTAATCAAAAGGCACTACCCTCTATCTCATCATCCCACATACATTACCACTTTTACTTATACTTATTACCTTACTCTATTACCATCACTACTCTGCTCTACTATTATACTATGATTATTTATTATTGATATTCATACATACTCGTTATATTTATTACGTATAGTTGTATACCTTCTTCCATATCTTGTCTGTATGTCTATTGTTACTGTTGTTTACTACTTCTTATCCGTGCAGCCGTTTGTTTCCACTACTAAACTGACGCCTTTTTTTTACTTGAACAACTGTGCCTATTCATTGATCGCAAAATAATTTTAACATTTGTTTTTTTATACAGTTGCTATAAAAAAAATTGCAACTTTGTGAACATCGTACAAAAGATGCGTAATTCTGAATTTAATAAACTGATCAATGACATTGCACGGTTATTACGAATTACGAGCCTGTGGTAGTGTCATTATCTCAAACAAGCGAGTGAACAAGTCTTACTCGGGAAAGTTGCAGCTGAGAAAGATTTCAGATCGGAGCTTTAAAAAAAGGATTAAAACAGACTTTATTGTCAGCTTAAAGAGACAACTCAGAAAAAAAAATCGTTTACTCTGTTCCTGCATTTTTTCCTACTACTATCTATTTGCTTACACAATAGTTAATAATTATATAATATATGAAACCCAACACCGACACCAAGAACCAGGAAACTCGAGAGTCTAAGCTGTATTTCTCAGTATCCGTGTGTGTAAAAACGTCCACATCGTGAGCGGAGATTCATTTCGTCTTCGTTTAAATACTTACAATAAAATAGTACTCTAATAATGCTAAAGTATGCTTGTGTGTATACAACGAATGTATGTCTGAAAAAAAGATTGGTAGAGTCGTTTGATCATAGGAGCTGCTTCAGTTTTGTAGTAGTTATTGATAAGTTGTATCTAAACGAGACTAATAGAATATTTTCTTTTTCAGGACGACTTTGTCACGGAGAAGAAGGACCCCACCCATTATTCTGAACTGGATCCAAAAAATATGAACGTAAGCGTTGAAAAATATTTTCGGTTTGGAAAGTGGAAGAAAAGGCAGCCTGTTTTTCTTACATTAAATTTAACTTTTGACAGGTAAATGATTTACGCCTGGAATTAAGCGCTCGTAATTTAAGCTCCAAGGGCCTAAAGTCTCAACTTCAAGCTAGACTAACTAAAGCTATGAAAATAGAGCAGGCCAAAGAGGAGGGTAGACACGAAGACATTGAAGAGAATGAAAAAGAAAGTACACCATCACCTAAAGAAGAACCAAAAGATGAAAAGCGGTCCAAAGATAAAGAAGTAAGTTACATGTTTAAATATTTTCGTTTATTAATAAATAATGTGATTTACAAACAAATTATGTAAATAGCATGACGAGGACAAGAAAAAGGTTTATGATAGGGAAAAACTGCTTATGGAGAAAAGATACAATTTCCCGGATAATCCTCAGATAATAGTCCATCCGTCAAGAACGGCCAAGAGTGGAAAATTCGACTGCACGTGTATGTCTCTTAGCGTTTTATTAGATTACAGACCAGAAGATACAAAGGTAATTTACAAATACACAAGTATCTGTTTATATTTCAATCTTCTCATTTATTCATAAATAAATTAAAATTCAAGGAACACTCGTTCGAGGTATCTCTGTTTGCTGAGCTTTTCAACGAAATGCTAATGCGCGACTTTGGCTTTAGAATATATCGATCCTTGTACGCCGTACCTGAGAAACCAAAGGAGAGAGAGGACGACCGAAAAAAAGACAAGAAAGACGATAAAAAGAAAGATGATGACAAAAAAAGCAAAAAGGATGACAAGAGAGATGAGAAAAAAAGTGACAACAGTAAAGACAAGAAGGATGATAAAGATGCCAAAAGCAAAAGTGACGAAAAGGATAAGGATAAAAATGAAGATGATGATGACTACGATGATGAAGAGTCTGATGTAAGTTTTTGATCATAAGGTGTAATATACATGAAAATTGTTCAATAAAAAAAAAATTATATTTTAATAGGATGATGATTCTGTAAAAGACGGAAAAAAAGATAAAGACAAGGATGGAAAAAGGAAAAAAATTAGACTCTTCACGTCGGACCCATATCTTCTCTTGGCCTTTGTGTATTTCGACCAAACTCATTGTGGCTACATTTTTGATAAGGATATTGAGGAATTAATTTACACCTTAGGACTGAATTTATCTCGCGCTCAAGTTCGAAAACTTGTTCAAAAAGTCGTAACACGAGACTCTTTACATTACAGAAAATTAACTGATAAAATGAAAGAGGAAGATTCTAAAGACATAAAAAAAGATGATAGCGAGAAAGATGGAAATACTGCCAAAGCAGACCACGAAGAAGAAGTTCTAAAGTCTCTCGCTCTGGGTACGTACCATCACTTCTTACAACAGTTTTAACAATCGAAATGTTTTCTAATATTATATTTGGATTAATCAGGAAACAAAAAGTTATTGCCAGTATTTGTTGGGAGTGGTCCTGCTTCCAAGAGAGCAAGAGGCGAAGGTTCTTTGGAGCAATCAGAAAATCAGTCAGTACCAGAAGGTTTCCTAATGTTCCAAGGTTCGTTACTAGATGTACAGAAACTTGTTAGTCAATTACAAAGGTCGGAAAGCGCTCGTGTTGACACAGAGACACGAATGATGGAACTGCAACGTGAATTGGCTGCTTTAAGCGATAAGTCGACCAAACAAAGTAGTAATATTAAAGATCTTTCTGACGACTTGAAGTTATACAAAGATAGACTGAGAACCGCAGATGATAAATTGAAGAAAGTAACGGTAAGTTGAATGCGAAATCGATTTTTTTCCTCGTGTACCCATTTCTTCGATCGTAACGTACTAGTGAAAATATTTTATTTTCAGACTGAATCACATGCATATTTCGCTTCATTAAAGAGTATACATCATATCTCGTCAAAATATATGCAAAGCGACGTAAAGCGAGTCGAAGTTGTTGAAATTCAAGACGAAAAAGTCAATGCCGAACAAGTGAACGGTGCACAAGTTGAGTGCAAATTTAAGGGTGATACTCGATGGAGCGACAATAAAGTTGCTATAAAAAAAGAGCCTACCGAATATGATAAGGACAAAAAGTGTGACAATAAAGTTTTAGTTAAGAAGGAGATCACTACAGAGGAGGAGAAGGATAAAAAGTAAAATTTGCGTAATTGTTTGTATTTATTCGTTTACACCTCTGAATGAGGTGCACCAAAATCCAACAACGTTCGAATTCGCGGATACGCTTCACACGATGAAAGTATCGAAAGTATTTTATGTAATCGAGGAATATCGGGTGAGATTATTTTTTCCGTATTTCTTTTTATACACCAAAATATTCTTTTTTTTTATTGTAAAATTCAGGTAATATATGCGTGCGTGTTTAGACGAACCATCGCATTATTTTTAAATGTATAAATCATTTAGGAGTTGAAAACATTCTTTTGCAATCGCAATTGTAAATTGTTTTATGATTGCTCTAGAGGTTTTCACAACTTTTCTAACTTTAAACTGTTTTATTCCATATTTGTGTATTATTATAAAGTCAAAATGTTATTATTTTACGTTAATATTGTGTTTAAAACATATTATCTTTCACAGTTAGTTTCAAAACAGAAAGTGAATTTTTACATTGAGTGTTTTGTAAACTTTCCAAGAATCATATGTAAATGTACAGTTATTTTATCGAAATTACTGAAATGGCAAGATTTATAGAAGTCAAAATACATGTTCATTTGAATATATATTTCCATTTTTTTTTAATCCTGCAAATGTTAAAAAATTTCGAAGGATAGAAAAAAATAAATCAGTTTTACCATCAAATATACTTTATTTACCATCATTTGCAGTTTAACCTCGAGATATTGCAATGGCATTTTTATCATACACAAGTATGCTATAACTTGTATTTGAAAGTTATAGTTCAAAAATGAAACTTAATTATTTATTTCTTGTTACAGGCGTAATTTGTTAAAAATTATTTTTTCCCTTTCATGATTTTCACTTATTGGCTAAACAGATTGTGAGGTAATTATTTATTTTGTCTTGAACAAATTAAAGCATCGTAGCTAGTTTTTACGGAAGATATTGAACTTAATTTTTGAATGTTTATGAATTTGTTTTATAAGTTGATTTATCTCGTATACCTTTACAGTCCAAGCCTCAATAATTAATTGCGCGATAACAGTGAATTTTAAAAATTGCTGATGAATTTTATCTTCTAAAATCGAAAGACGCAATCCTAGAACTGAAAATCATATATACCAATGAATTTTCATCAACTGTACAAGCGTACAACTGAGCTTATATCCGAAATACTCGTATTTATTTTTTTATTTATTTATTTTTTTTTTTTTCAAGCGAGAATTTAATTATAGTATTCAACTATAGTCATACTAAAACTGCCCTAATATCGTACAAAATTATTCATTAGTCAGTTTCTCCTTTATAATTACAATAACCAAAATTTTAGTTACTCTTTTTCAAAAATAATGACCATGACAAATTGAAAAACGATACAAACTGATCGTTAAGTACATTCCTCTAAAGTAAACAAATATTTCAGACCAAATGAATTTCCGAAAAAGAAAATTTTAGCTTACAATCACTAAATTATAGCACCAACTAAAAAAAAATAGTAATAATAAATTAAATTGTATGTAAATTCATAATTAGAATAACAAAGCTTGAAGTAAATCTGTACAACCCTGCTAAATGACAAAAAAAACGTTACCACATCTTTTTCATCCTCGGAAATACTGTTTAATCATTTCTTTTGATATTGTTTAAGCATAAATGAACCAAAGATTACTTTGATACGTTAATTATGACGTACAGTGAACAAATAAAAAAAATTATTCGAGCTGACTTTGGACATTTTCCATGATTTATTTACTGTAAATAAAGCTACACGACAAAATGTAGTAAAAGACGACGTTTTTTGATGATGCTTAAACAATATACGAAAAGACATTGCACTTAAAGTTACTTAAATAGGAATCTGTATTATTTATGCTACATAGGTACGCAAATTTCATCTAAAACGTAGCTATTATTTGTACGCATTACTAACCAAAACACAAAGACTCGTATTTACATTATCTATTCTCATGGCTGAAAAAAAAAAAAAAAAAAAAATCATTACAAAATGACCAAAATGAAAATAAACATAATAGTTATACGATGGATGCCCTCAGTCTCAACACCTTTTGACTATGTACACAACAATAACCGCGCGAAAATGAAAATGTACAATCGAATGTAAGTACTTGTCGATTATTCTTGATTAATATTGTTAACCAAAAATCGAGCTCACCTCATCTCAACATGTTCAAAATACTTGCACACACACACACACACACACACACTCTTAACAACCTCGGCCATTGGTTTCGAAATGAAAATCATGCTTCAACCAATTCGAAGATGCTTCCAAGCGTGTAACTTAGTCAAACATTCGAAATAGTATACAATCAGGCAGAGGTTGATTTTAAAAGTCACTAGAGTAGAATAGTACAACTCTTTGAATAACTGAAAGTAACGATAATTATGCTAAATGGACGAGTGGAGTTTGTCCAACGTTTGGAAGCACTTTCCTGGTTTGAGCACAAAAATAGAGGAATCCTACATTACATGAGCACTTTGATCGCTTCAAGTCTTCTGTAAAGTGTCGTTCGCAAGTTCGAGTGACTCACCCTCGTGCCCGACGAGAGCTACGGATACGTGAATGCCCCCCTCCCCCCCGTTTAAAGGTCGACAACGAAAAGTACCCGGATTCGCTGCTAGGAATTGTGCGCTCGGCCCGTCGCGGAGACAGCCCTCGCTGTCCTCGGTATGAGGGTGGGCGTGACCAGTCTCCGGGGCGTCGGTATCGCCGACCTCGTCAATTCGGTCGTCGTTGCGGAGGTTGGCTGCTGGGGACTGCTGGGTGGACGTAGCCTTGACGGCCGATGTTCCGTGGAGGAGCGCCTACTGCTGCTGTCGCTCGCTACTGGGCTCAGGTTTTGTTGGTGGTGCTGTTCGAGGGCTAGCGCCGTCGGCCTCTGCTGCTCCCCCATCCACGAATCATTCGAGCTGAAATTGATATTTTTTTTTTTTTTTTTTCAAAAATTAGCCTAGGAATTTTTTTTTTTTTTTTTTTTTTAAGTAAACAGCTTGAAACTACACAAAGCGCGATACGTAAGGTTTTCTTGTGTATTATATTTTTTAAATTAAACTCTTTGTGCATTGCCCACTGACACTTTGAACGTTAAATGTGTAATTTAGTGGTTTAAAAGATCAATAACTCACCCCAAGTGGCTAACCATTGCAGCATGGAACATTACTCAATGTCAATCCGTTATAGTTTTAAGGACTACTTTCATTCTTACGAGTTAAAACTCAAAGGTAGCATGCTGATTTTTCTTTTTTCTTTTTTTTTTTTTTTTTAGAAATTCCTCGAAAGCTCTCAAGTATTTTATGAAAAATCGAATTAGCCAATTGGAAATAGATTCGTAATGAAATATTTTATCATCTTGAACATTGACAAAATACAACGTGATTTTTTTTTAATTTTATTAATTTGATGTATGTACAATATGTGTTTTTTTTTTCAATCCAAGTCTAACGGAAATATCGCATTTGAAAGACGAAAATAAAATTCTAGATACATCGTAACAACTATACATGTATGTATGTTTTTACAAAAATATAATTACAATATTTGACAAAAGTACAACTATCAATACATGATTAAAGAGCAAATAGCATCAACCATGTGCATGCAATTATTATACAGTAATTAACAGAGAGGAGTATGGAGTTTAAAATGTGTAACAGACATTATAGGTATGCGAAAAATTTAAAAGCGGAGGAAAAAAAATGCAAGTGTTCCAACAAGTGCATGTAAATAAGGACATTTATGGCGCAAAGTAGTATACATCCCAACAGTATGTCACACAGACTAATGCACTCTACCTTCCCGATCCTCAAGCTGTATGTATTTCGTCATCACCAAATATCGTCGGTTGACAATAGGACCAGCAACAACAATCCGGTCGTGGATTCAATTGTACAGTGTGCTTATTAGTTGGTTATTTTGATAATGGGCTTATGAGATATGTTATCTTTTTTTCTATATTTTATTTATTATTTTCAAAAATTAGTAACTACATTGAATTATACGTACACCAGAAAAAAAACACACAACGTGTTAGATAAAAAATGTCAAGTCCATTATGGTTATAACGATATTAGTGGATGACACAAAAAAAAAGTAATGTGATTGAATCCTCACCTAACTAGAGACCCCGAGCCGTGATCCTGTAAAAACGACGATGCTGTCGAGAGTGGTCGCAACTTGAAGAGAAAAAAAAACAAAAGAAAAAATGTAACAAAATCAGAGTACTATATGGTAATAATTGAATCGTATTAATTTGGAAATCCGATAGTAAAGGGTATTTCAAAAATGTTCAAATCTTTCGATAATGTCGTTAAACGAGAGTTAGATGTAAAGTGTGTATAGAAAGTGCATGAACAACATTCCAGGATTCGGGTTTGCGGAAACTGTAGAATTTAAATTCGTGCTAGGTAGTAACTTTGAAATAAAAATTTTACAGCCAGGTGTATGATAATTGATAAAATTAGCCAACGTAACACGAGTAAACGTGAAAATAAAGTTTTACGGGTCCTGCATTCACAACATAAAACGAAGAATTTAATGATAAACGCGATAAAAAGCTCCTTCGCCTCTCTGTCCGACAAAAAGAAATGCAACAAATGACTTTACTCATTACAAACATATTCAAGAACGCACCTTTCCTAACATAAAGTTTAATCGCAATCGAAAGTTTGATATGGTAAAAAACTAAAAGCTACCTTGTCCGTTTGCGTGGCCGCGTTACTTGTCTCTCTAAGCACATCCTTTCCATTGAGTACCGCCGAGGCGCACTCCGTAGCCTCCTGTTTCCGATAATTTTCCAGCTGCTCCTGATATAAAAAAAAAA